TTTTAGGGCGGAGGTTGCTAAAAATGAAACCCAAATCCTCATCCTGCAATTGGCTGAATTAAGACACATGTTTAACTCTCAGTCTCAAAATATATCTGCAATTAAAATAAGTGCACTGCTTGGAAAATAATGGGATTCTCTAAATTGGGATACTGGCATATGGAAGGACCCTGAAGAAACTGGGAACTCCTACATTATGATGAGTTTATTTTGCCAGAAGTTGTTGAGTCTTTACACTTAGCCATCTCTACCCTCATCTTCTGTGGTATTGGCTTCTCCACATGCTTTGCCTATGGAAACAGTAAAGTCATTTTTTGATTCAGTTGCTCAGCATGAAAATGTTGATACATTTCAGGACCTGCCCTCACTTCTTACTTTTGCCTCAGGCCTATAATTAGATTCAAATCTAAGCAGGCCCCCAGAGGTGAGGTAAGGGTGTGACCCATGAGAAGGTTTGCTACATTCTGAAGGAACTTCTTAAATTTCCTAATTCATACAAGTAGAGTTCTGGGAACATGGAATTTGAGTTCTGTGGGAATAAAATTTAAGTGTGTGAGGTAATGGTGGAAGAAACATAAAATTAGATTAGGCTGAATTTATTGAAATGGACCCATTAAACAGAGATTCTAGGTTTGATGTATTATCTCACAGTGTTACAAAAGTTACTAATAGTTTGTTTTGATGGTTGACTGAAGCATGGATCAAAAAATAACCTATTGTTAATGAACTGGAATGCCTGACATCCCTTAGTTTACTGTTTTTTTAAAAAAAAATGACAGCAGAATGCATTACAAGTCATATTACACAAATAGAGCACAATTTTTCATATCTCTGGTTGTGTATAAAGTATGTTCACACCAATTTGTGTCTTCATACATGTATTTTGGATAATAATGTCCATCCCATTCCACCTTCCTTGCTTACTCCTTGCTCCCCCTTCCTCTCCAACCCCTTTGTCCTATCTAGAGTTCATCTTTTCCTCCCATGCTCCCCCTCCCTACCCCATTATGAGTCATTCAATTTATATGTCTTACATGCACAAGGCCCTGGGTTCAATCCTCAGCAAAATAAATAAATAAATAAATAAATCCCTTGGTTTACTGTTGATGAATAAATTTCAAGGCTCAGAATGAGTGGAATGCTGTAGTGAATATGTCATGTATAACCTTCTCCTTCATACTGGAAGGGTTCAGAAGATTTACCTTCACCAAAAGTATAGAAAACAAAATTGTGAGGGGAAGACAAGCATCCTTGAAGAGCTCTGACACTGCTGTTCTTTGCATTCCAAGTCTTACTGTGAGAGCTGCTGTCAATCACTTGGGAGATTGAAATGTGATAGGAATAATTTGGTCCCAGAGAGGAAGAAAGTGGCAGCACTTAAACACCAAAGACAAGGTTGTCATAGTTACCATAATGCCCAGCAAAGGGGAAGAAATGAACAAAATGTTCTGACTCATGTAGATCTCTGGCATTAATTCATTAGTCATGGTGTTACTAGAAGTCAAATAAATGAGAAACCCACCAAATTCTCACTTGACTTATAGAAGCAGAAAAATTCCAGTGCAAATGTACAAAATGCCTCTTTAGACCATAATAGCAGAGAATCATGGCCCCTCAACCACTTTCCATATTGAGTTAGTTTACAGATCCAGAACCCTTTTAATGAAGGGGAGGTCAGATCCCCTTGAGGAAGGACCCTAGTAAGATACCAAAAAGCTCTACTGTTAATCTTTCTTCTATCCTTCCACAAAGGGACTTAAGGTCTTTTATCAGGGTAACTATGTATTGGTTGAAAAGGCAATGATTGGACCTTATGAGGATTGCTAGACACAGACTCTGAATTGACAGTGATTCAAGGAGTTCAGGTGATCAAGGCAGTTTTAGCCAAGGTATGACTCACAGTGGATCAAGTGGGGCCCTCAAACTCATTCTGTGATTATTTCCCCAGTCCTGGAATGCATAATAAGGATAGATATACTTCACACTTGGCAAAACTCCGACATTGTTTCTCTAACCTATAGAGTGAGGGCTATTATGGTGGGAGAGGCCAAATGGAAAGAGGGGCACATCTTCTATACCTGGGAAAATAGTAAATCAAAATCAATATTACATCCCTGGAGGGATTTCAGAGATTACTGCCACCATCAAGGAGTTGAAGGATGTAGGGATGGTGATTCTCATGACATTCCCATTTTGACTCCTACTTGGCCTATGCAGAAGATTGATGGGTCTTAGAGAATGATAGTTGATTATTGTAAGCTTAATCAGGTGGGGACTCCAAATGTAGCTGCTGTGCCAGAAATGGTTTCTTTGCTTGAGCAGATTAATACATCTCTTGGTATGTGATATGCAGGTATTGATTTGACAAATGTTTTTTTTTTCTCCATCCTGTTCATAAGGACCACAAGAAGCATTTCAGAAATATACTTTGCCAGAAATATACTTTCACTGTCTTTCCTCAGGAGTATGTCAACTCTCCAGCCCCATGTCACAGCTTAGTTCACAGAGATCTAGATTGCTTTTCTCTTCCACAAGATAGTATACTTGTCTATTATATTGAAGATTTTAGGTTGACTGGACCAACTGACTGGACCATTCTGGACTTGCTAGTAGAGCATTTTCATATCAAGGTATGGGAAATAAGTCCTAACCAAATTCAAGGACCTTCAACTTCAGTAAGTTTCTAGTAGTCCAGTGGCATGGGGCCTGTTGAATAGTGAAATATTAAGGTGGGAAAGGCTAAATGGAAATAAGGTATCAAATAAGTTGGCCTATCTTACAAATAAGAAGTAAGCATAATGCCTGGTAGACCTATTTGAATTTTGGAGGCAGCATTTGGTGTGTGTTACTTCAGCCCATGTACTGCATGATTAGAAAAGTTCCTTGTTTTCAGTGGGGTCCAGAACAGAAGGAGGCTCTGCAACAGTACCTGTTCAGGCTGCTCTTCCCCTGAGCCATATGACCTACCAGATCCAATGATACTTGAGGTTTGGTGGTAGATAGGCATGTTGTCTGGAGCCTTTGACTGGCCCTCCTGGGTGAATCACAGAGGAGGACATTATAATTTTGGAATAAGACCACACCATCACCTTCAGACTATTATCCCTTTGAGAAACAGCTCTTGGCCTGCTACTCAGCCTTAGTGGAAACTGAATGCTTATTCATGTGCCACCAAGTTACCATCCAACCACAACCTTCATCATGAACTGGGTGTTAACTGGTTCATAAAGCCATAAAGTTGGACGTACACAGCAGCACACTATTTTCAAATGGAAGTAGTACATACATGATTTGGCCCAGGGAGACCCAAAGGCACAGTAGGTTGCATGATGAAGTAGCCCAAATGCCCACGGTTTGTACTCTTGCTGGAATACCTTCTGTCCCTCAGAATGAACCTATAACTTCATGGAGTGTACCTTATGCTCAATTAACAGAGGAAAAAAAGACTAGGCTCTGGTTTATACACGGTTCTGCATGATACATGGGTACCACCCAGAAGTGGACAGCTACAGAAATAATGCTCCTTTCTAGAAAAACACTGAAGGACAGATATGAAGGAAAATCTTCACAATGGAAAGAAATTTGGGCAGTGCATCTTGTTTTGAATTTTGCCTAGAGGGAAAAATGGCCAAATGTGCAACTGTATACTGATACATAGGCTGTGGTCAATGGTTTGACTTGCTGGTAAGTGACCTGGAAAGAATATAATTGGAAAATTAGTGATAAGAACATTTGAAGAAGAAGTATATGGATAGCCCTCTCTGAAGGATGGGAAGATATTTGTGTATCATGTAAATGCTCATCCAAAGGTGACCTCAGCAAAGCAGGCATTTAATAATCAAGTATATAGGATGACCTAATCTGTGGATAGCAGTCAGCCTGTTTACCCAGCCACTTCTGACATCACCCAATGGGCTCATAAACAAGTGGTCATGGTGGCAGGAATGGTGGTTATGCATGGGCTCAGTGACACTAACTTACACTAACCAAGGCTGATCTAGCTATAGCCCTGCTTACCAGTAGCAGAGACCAACCCTAAGTGCCTGCTATGGCATCATCCCCTGGGAAGATCAGCCAACAAACTTGTAGCAAGTTGATTATATTGGACCAGTGGTTTGTCCTTACTGGAAGAGGCAGTGGTTTGTCCTTACTGGAATAAGGACACATTTTATGGGTACAGATTTGCCTTCCCTGCACATAGTTCTTCAGCCAAAATCACCATCTGTGAACTTAAAGAATGCCTTTTCCATTTTTTTTTCAGTCAACATTTTTTCTGCTTTGCTAAAAGGTCTGACAAGAACAACTTTAGAGAAGGAAAAGTTTATTTGAGGGCTCACAGTTTCAGAAGTTTCAGTCCATAGACAGCTGGCTTAATTCCTTGGGGCTCAAGATGAGGCTGAATATCATGGCAGAAGAGTGCGGTGGAGGGAAGCAGCTCACATTATGATCAGATAGGAGAGAGAGAGAGAGAGTGAGAGAGAGAGAGAGAGAGAGAGAGAGAGAGAGAGAGAGAGTGTCAGTCCACTCATTAGATTCAAAGTATACACTCCAAAGGCGTGCCCCTGATGCTCACCACCTCTAGCTATTTACCTTCAGTTAACACTCAGTTAATCCCTATAAAAGGATTAATTCACTGATTTAGTTAAAGCTCTCCAAACCCAATTTCTCCTCTGAACCTTCTTGCATTGTCTCACATGTGAGATTTTGGGTGACACTTCACACCCAAACCATGACATTCTGCCCCTGGTTCCCAAAAGCTCACAACCATCTCACAATGTAAAATACATTTTGTCTATTTCCAAGGGTTCCCATAGTTTCAACAGTTCCAAGATTGCCCAAACTTTCAAGTCCAAAGTCTTCTTAGGGACTCAGGGTAAGCTTGCATTGTGAGCTGCTGTAGAAATCAAAAGCTATTTACAAGTACATGTAGAGAATCAGACCGACTGCTTGCAGTCCTTGATCAAGCTTGCCTGCAAACAGGATGTTCTGCCAAGTGGGCTGGAAGGACTTTGAGAAAAGAACATTACTTGCAAACAAGAATGTTTATCTGTTCTTGAGAAGGAACAGAGCTCAGAATGCTCCAACCCAAGAGTAGATTAAGACATCATCAGTAAGTTACTTCTGATTAGTAAGTCACTTCTGCACATAATGTTTTGCAAGCTTATAGACCTGAGTCATTGCTGTTGGAATATTCTTTGTTCATAATACTATATAAAAGACTGCTGCATTCTTCTTCTTCCTTGCTCATGCTGACCTGCGTTTGAGTTCTTTGCGTCAATTGGCTGAGTTGGCAGGATTCAGCACTGAAGGGTAAGCACCCCGGGTTGAGAAAACGAAAGGGGGACTTTCAGGATTAACATGGGAAACTCCCAATCCTTAAAGGAACAATATGTAGAGTAGCTAAAAGGATTATTACATTCCATAGATGTAAAAACATCTCATAAGAGAGTTAAGGAGTTATTTAAAATTATAGAATGTCATTGTTACTTGTTCCAGTATCAAATCAAGGTCCAGTTAAATTTAGGGGAAAGGAAACTTGTTCAGAAAGAGCTCCGTAAGCAGCATCAGGTAGGAAATGTTATCTCCTTAAAGATTTGGACACTATGTAGCACTATTACTCAAGCATTACAATTATTAGAGAGTAATAGTGAAAAGGATTCTCATCATGAAGGCAAAGTTGATACGTCAAAATGTGATACTAAAATTAATGAAGCGGAGCCCAAGGAAGATATTTGTGATACTGTAGGTGATTCTCCTAAATCAGATTTGGATGATGGAAGGGATTTAGAAAGTTCAGATAGCGACTCTAGTATGAAAGAAATAATGGAGGCCTTTGTGGAACAAATGAAATTTAAAAAGCAAAGGTTCTCTCTTAAACCTACTGTTTCTTCTTATGCTTCCCTTTTTCCAATTACAAAGTCTAAAGTTGTTGTGGGTAGAGAACAACAACACTTTTCGTTTCCTCTTACTATGATATATGATGATGGTGACCTTCCAGCTCCCCCTGGTGGTTTTATTAATCCCCCACATTTGTTTCCTAATACTAAACAACAAAACCCTCATAATCCCCAAATGATTGATGTTCAGTATACTGCAGTGGAATACAAGTTTATAAAGGATTTAAAAGCTGCAGTCTCTCAATATGGCCCTCAGTCTCCCTTTGTGCTAGGTATGTTAGAAAATTTAGGAACTTCTAAATTACTTATTCCCTTGGACTGGGAGGCATTAGCAAAAACAGTTTTGGAAGGATCTCAGTGGTTACAATTGAGAAGTTGGTGGAAAGATGAGGCATGGAAACAAGCTCAAGAGAATGAGACTCAAAATCCCCCTGGACCTATGGAGGATAAGTTAATGGGGAAAGGTAATTACCGTGCCTTAAGAGAACAGGCTCAATATACAGATCAAGACATTCAAAAAGTTCGACAGGTTTTCTTGAGAGCTTGGAGATGTGTAGTACCCACTGTCAAGCACAACTTTCCTTTACTAAAACCATACAAGGGGCTACTGAATCTTATACTGATTTTCTTGTGAGACTGCATACTACTGTAATGAGGGCAGTGGGTCAAGATCAAATAGCAAAGGTATTATTGGAAACATTAGCATTTGAAAATGCAAACCCTGAATGTAAACGTATTTTGGGGCCATTAAAAGGACAAAATGCCTCATGAACATGAAGCTTCCATATTTGCTGCAGCAATGGCTAGAGCCCTTAAACCCAATAAATCAGGAACTTGCTTTAATTGTGGAAAAGCAGGTCATTATCGAAAAGATTGTCGAAAAAAAGGTAACAATAGTAATAATAGTATATCTCTCAAGACAAAAAAGATACCTACTGAAGTTTGCCAATGATGTAAACGAGGCAAACGTTGGATAAATGAGTGTCGTTCAAAGACAGATAAAGATGGAAACCCTTTACCTCAATTGGGAAACTACTCAATGGGCCGTCATCCCTGGGGCCCACAAACAAAACCCGGACCACCTCTCACTTGTTTCCAGCAACAATGACCCCTGAGTCGGTCAAACAATCCCAGGATAATACTAAGTTAACTATTGATAATCTTTACACAGCTACCCAACAAAGTGCTACTGCTGATTTACCTATTAGTGAAAATGTTTTAATGTCTCCTGGAGGTGGTATTTACAAAATAAAGACTGGTGGACCTCTTCCCTCTAATAGTTTTGGATTAATTGTCAGTCATAGTACTCTGCCTTAGGAGGCATCCATGTAATTCCTGGAATTGTTGATTCTGATTTTACAGGTGAAATTTTAATTATGGTATATTCTACCCAAACCCTTTCATTGATTAGTGGAGAATGAATCACCCAGATTTTGTTGTTACCTTTTTTTTTTTCAATTTCCTTCTAAAAATCAATCAAGAACTGGAGGATTTGGTAGTACAGGAAAGTATATATTTTGGGAAACTTTAATTACTGATTGGAGACCCTCTTTAACTCTAAATATTCAAGAAAAATATTTTGAAGGATTTATTAGATACTGGGGTGATGTCTCAGTTATTTCCATAAAACAATGGCCACAAGAATGGCCTAAACAAAAATGCCAAATAACATTAGATGGATTAGGGGCAGTGGCAGATGTGTGGGTCAGTTCTGGCCCTCTATTATATCATACCTTAGAAAATATTAGAGTCCTAAAAACTTTTTACAGAATTCATGTTCCAGTTAATATTTGGGACGAGATATTTTATCTCAACTTGGAGCACATATTCACATTCCTTCAAAAAACTTGTAGCCACTGTTCAGCCCCTCGAGCAATGCCATTAACATGGTTAACTGGTACTCCTAAATGGATTGAACAGTGGCCTTTAAATAAAGAAAAGCTCAAGGCATTAAAACAATTAGTTACTGAACAATTACAGGCAGGACATATTGAATATTCCACATCTCCTTGGAACTCCCCTGTATTTGTTGTTAAGAATTCTGGAAAATGGCAAGTATTGACAGATTTGAGGGAAATTAATAAACGTATTAAACCTATGGAGGGATTATAATTAGGACTTCCCTCTCCTGCAATGATTCCAAATAAATTGTCAATTTTTGTTATTGATTTAAAAGATTGTTTTTTTTACTATCCCTCATCAACCTCAGGATAAGGAAAAATTTGCTTTTACAGTATCTGAATATAATAATCATCAACCTGTTTAACATTATCAATGGACTGTGTTACCTCAAGGTATGATTAATAGTCCTACATTATATCAGGAATTTGTTGCCAGAGCCTTAGAACCAGTTCCACAACAATTCCCTCATTATATTTTATATCATTATATGGATGATCTTTTATTAGCATCCTCTACAAACAATGAACGTGATTGTTTCTATGAAGCAATTCTAAAGGCTTTGTTAAAATTTGGATTACAATTAGCTCCAGAAAAGGTACAAATTAATTTTCCTTATTCATATTTAGGATTTATATTAGATAAACAAAAAATTAAGTCTCAAAAGGTTCAAATAAGAAAGGAAAACTTAAAAACTCTTAATGATTTTCAAAAATTGCTAGGGCATATCATTTGGATTCGTTCATCTATAGGGATACCTACTTTACCAGTTACAACATTTATTTGCTACTCTAGAAGGTGATACTGAATTACATAGTTCTAGAACCTTAACTAAACAAGCATTACAAGAATTAACCTTAGTTGAACAACGTTTAAATGAAGGATATTTATCTTATATAGATTTAGAAAAATCCATATACAACTAATTCTCTTTTATACTCCTCATTCCCAATCTGGAGTGCTAACTCAAAATGATCATATAATAGAATGGATTTTTTTACTTAATAAATATAATAAATGATTAACTACATATATAGATAAACTACCCTTTTTAATAATTAAAGGTAGATCTAGACTGTTACAATTGAGTGGTAGAGAGCCAAATCAAATTATTACTCAAATAACCCATCAACAAATTTCTTATAATCTACAATTAAATGAAAATTGGCAAATTGCTTTAGCTAGTTATTCTGGAGCTATATCTACTCAATATCCTAAATCTAAAGTCTTTGAATTTTTTAGAAAATATTCTGATATTAGTAAACGCTATTTCTTCAATTCCTCTTTCTGGCATTACTGTTTTTACTGACGCAAACAAAACTTCAGCAGAATATTGGACTCCCATAACTTCTAAAGTGTATACTCATGAGTTTTCCTCTTTTCAACCTGCTGAATTATGGGCTATTACTTTAGCTTTATTAGATTTTTCCAGTGTTCCTCTTAATATTGTTTCTGACTCTCAGTATGCAGTTTTGGTGTGCACACATCTACCTTCAGTTAGTCTTCCTATTAATCAAAAAACCATAATTGAGAAAATATTTGCATTTACACAAAGATTATTATTACAGAGAACCATTTCAGTATATTTTACTTATATTAGGGCACACTTTACACTGCCAGGATCATTAACTAAAGGAAATCAAAATATTGATCAACTATTGTTCCAAAAAAGGCACATCAAGAACATGCTTTACATCATACAAACACTAAAGAACTTTACAAAAATACAAAATAACCCCCAAACAAGCACGTGACATTATAGCTAACTGTTCATCATGTACTCCTTTTAATATCCCTTACTGTCCTCCTGGTGTTAATCCAAGGAGATTCCATCCTAATGCCCTTTGGCAATGGATGTTGTTATAACTCAGTCATTTGGATGACTAAGATATGTACATCATACCATTGATACTCATACTCATTTTCAATGGGCCACAGTATTTTCTTTGGAAAAAGCTGATGCAGTCATTTCTCATTTATTATCTTGTTTTGCTATCATGGGATTTCCCAGAAAAACTTAAAACTGACAATGCACCTGTATGTATGTCACAAAAATTACATTCATTTTTACAGAAATATGACATTACAAATACATTTGGTATTCCATATAATAGTCAGGGTCAAGCTATTATAGAAAGGGCAAATCATACGTTCTGAGAATATATATATGTATATATATATATATATACATATATATATATATAATAAAAAGGGGAGAGATGGCTATGGCTTATGCACCTCAATATATACTTTATTAAACCTTACTAACTTTAAATTTTTAAAATCTTTGGTCAGCTTCCAAGGTTCCTGCAGCCCAGCAACATTTCTTGATATTTAAATCATAACCATTATTTCAAAAGTCAGAAATACTTATATGGTATAGGGATGAAAATAAAGAATGGATTTCTGGGTTGTTGCACCACATGGGAAGGGGGTTTGCTCTTATTTCTACAGATAAAACACCTTTTTGGAGTACCTTCAAGACTTATCAAATTGCAGAATGAGCAACCCGTTTGTCAGACAATTTCAGGAGCTGTCAATGCAGAGAAACTTTACGATGACAACGAGAACAGCAGACCCCCCAACATGGAGACAGATGAAAAGATTGACTCGAGAAGATAAAAAACCCCTTCAAAAGGCAAATCAGCCTTTAAATCCTGTTAATATTTTATTAGCTATGCTTGCAGTTATTGACTGCCAGGCAAATTCAGTTTCTGCTCATTCTTTTGCTTATTGGGCCTATGTACCTAATTCTCCTTTGGTGCGAAGTGTTTCCTGGGGAGAACCTGAAGTTTGTGTATGTACTAATAATACTAATTTCTTATCCCCTCCTGAATATGGGGGAATTGAAGATATACCATTCCATAAAAATCTATATAATATTTCTAATATAACTATAGATGTTGAAGGAGTCCCATTGTGTATAGGGGCTCATTCTTTCAGTTTACCTGTTATAGCACATAATGATTCTCATTCTTATAATACTTGGGGAATTAATTATCGAAGTTATTCTACTGCTGTTTTTACTGTCATGATATCATCCCAAGAGTTTAATATCTCTAATATGTATATTATTCAATCATTGTTAATGTCTGAAGAATGTTTTGTTAGAACTCATCTTCCTTTATGTTCAACTAAATATTTTGAAGCCTTATTAACTCATTTAGAGTGGGAAAAATGTCGTGATCATCACCCTAAAATGGTAGTCAAAAATCAAAATATTACAATAGTAGATTGGAGTACTGATCATTCTGAATTAATAGAAAGTTGGTCAAATCGTACTTTAAGATGGCATCAACATAATGGGACAATAAATGCTTGGGGTAATGAGACAATTAAAATGCAACATTATGCTTTGGTCCCTCCAATGTTACAGCATATACAGTTTTCCAATGTTCAAGGGGATATATGGAAATTATGGACAGAATCTGGGAAACTCACTGTTTGGACTAGGAATTTCATGTTAAATGTATCCCATTCCTATCCTTTCAAAGTACATCTACATAATAATCTAACTTATTTTGCATCCACATGTGTAAAATTCCCTTATTCTCTAATGATTGAAAACTGGGTATGTAATGAAACTCGGGGAACAATATCATGTGAAGATGATAATCTTACTCAATGTGTAAATAGAACTAATTGGGATTTAATGGAATCTAATAATTATTCTTTAGTTATTGTTAAAGCTCACATGGAGTTGTGGATACCTGTTAATTTGACTCTCCTTGGTCTGATTCTTTGCCTGTTACTCCTTTGTACAATGCTGTTCAAGTTTTATTACATTGCTTTCAACGATTGATAGGAATAGTTATAGCTTCAATCCTTGTAGTCGCTTCTGTTACTGCCACAGCTGCTATAGCTGGCGTTGCTTTATATCAAGGCACGCAAACTGCGGATTTCATGTGAACATGGCATCAGGATGCTCACTTGTTATGGCTAAAACAAAAAGATTTAGACTCTCAAATAGCTACGGATATGATAAATTTACAACATACTGTTTCCTGGCTTGGTGATCAAGTGACTATTTTGGCTACCAGAAGTGTTCTGAAGTGTGACTGGAATTCTTCTCATATTTGTGTGACTCTTGTACCATATAATACCAGTGATTCTTGGGAAACCATTAAAAGATGGTTAATTGGACATCAAAATTAAACTTTAGAAATTATGGATTTGGAAAAATCTATTATGGACACTTTTAGTAAGACATTATCTGATTTGACAGAATCTGACATTTTATAAGGATTGTCTTCAAGTATTGCTAATTTGAATCCTTTAAGTCATTTCTCTACCTTGTTGTCAACTTCTTTTGGTAATACTGTAATAATTTTTATTTTATGTTTTGTTTTGTATTTAGTCTTCCAAAGCTGGAAAAGGCAAAGGCAACTGAAACATGAAACCTCTCTAATCGCTTCTGCTTTGGTTCATTTACAAAAACAAAAAGAGAGAGATGTAGAGAATCAGACTGACTGCATGTGTGCTTGCAAACAAGACGCTTTGCAGTCTTTGGTGGAGCTTGCCTGCAAACAGGATGTTCTGTCAAGGATGTAGAGAATCAGGTAGGATGACTGCATGTGTGCTTGCAAACAAGATGCTTTGCGGTCCTTGGTGGAGCCTGCCTGCAAACAGGATGTTCTGCCAAGTGGGCTGGAAGGACTTTGAGAAAAGAACATTACTTGCAAACAAGAATGTTTATCTGTTCTTGAGAAGGAACAGAGCTCAGAATGCTCCAGCACAAGAATAGATTAAGACATCATCAGTAAATTACTACTGATTAATAAAGCTACTTCTGCACATAATGTTTTGCAAGGTTATAGACCTAAGTCATTGTTGTTGGAATGTTGCCTTCTTTGTTCACAATACTATATAAAAGACTGCTGTATTCAATAAAGGGAGATTCTTCTTCTTCTTCCTTGCTCATGCTGACCTGCGTGTGAGTTCTTTGTGACAATTACCCAATATATAAAAGTTTAAATAAACATTTTCATAAACAAAAATAGAAGCATGGAAATAAGGGATAGGACCAAAGCAAGACTGAAATCTAGCTAGACAAACAAGTCCTGTAACAGCACATTCAACATCTGTGGCACATGGTATGGGGACAAATGCATGGAGTACTGTAGGCATGGCATATGTTAAGGGATCTGAGTGGCAGGCCACTTCCCTAATGCTAGGTGTGTGAGTGGCAGGCCAGTTATCCTGTAGGCACAGCCCTGGGTGTGAGGCCATGTGTTGCAGTCCCTGCACTTGTTCCACAGCTCACTCCTCAATTGGTCACTGCAAGGACAGTTAGCGGAAATTGCATTGGTGGCTGTCTGTAATCTGCCTAGCTACTGCCTGAGTATATATACATGGTAACTGCAAAATAAACTGAGACCTTCTTCCTGCTTGGTTTCTGGAGGCCTTGATTAGTGACTCTGCAGCCACACTCTCCTTTACCCTGTTCTGTGAACCTCCTTGCTGGATGGGAGAGAGCCCACACAGCTGGTGCCCAAACAGGGACCTGAGGTAAGCCTATAAGACAGGGTGTGGCCCCTCACAGAGCACTGAGGAAGGTGAAATGGGGAACTTACCGAGTTCCACCAAAGACTCACAGCTGCAAGTGCTGCACACTCTCTTAGATACTAGAGGTTTAACCCTGAATAAGAGAGAAGCCCAGAAGTTCTGGGATATAAACACTAACCTGTGGATCAATATTGATCCTAGGATATGGGACAAGATAATGGCAAATGCACGGCAAGCTGAAGTGAGATGGGGTATAATTTACCACTACATTTTTTTCCTATTGTGACAGCCATTTAGCAAAGTTTAGGGGGCCCTAAAACAAATCCTTGTCATGTAATGATGGCTCTGAGGGAAGATAAGTCCGTGAAAGACAGGCAAGGGGAAAAAAGCAGTGACAAAAATCTACTTCAAAGCAAGCAACCACAGCAGGTGCAGGAAGGATAGAGGCAGGAAACAGTACTGCTAGCTTTCATGGTGCAGGAAGAGATGACCACAAATGGTGCAAGTGCGCCTTCTACTGACAGGCAAAGATTATATCCTTCACTGAGTCAATGACAATTGCCTCCTTATGAGGCAACGTCAAAGCCATCAAGGGACTATGACAGCTTAGAAATGAGAAGGCTGCTGGACAGACCCAAGCCACGGTCTCCCAGAAACCCACTCTAGGAGGCCATAGATCATTTTGAAGATCTATGTAGGATAAGAGATGAAAAGTGGGGTAAGGGAGTACAAGCCTTCCCAGTCAACACAGCCCCCACATCACAGCACCCTGCTACTTGGTATCCACACACATTGGGCACCCTGAAGGAGTTAAAGAAGGCAGTAAAAGAGGATGGGCCCCAGGGGCTGTTTGCAGAGCAAAATATTCGAATCACTCAGTCTTGAACTGAATTGCCCTCAAGACTGGAAAGACTAGCCAGAGCTGCTCTTGAACCTGCAACGTTTTTGAAGTGGAAGGCATTTTTCTATAATGAATGTGAATAGCAGAGGGAGGGTAACCACGCCACAAATGTTAACCTCCTAGCTGAATGCTTACAGGGAGAAGGAATCTACAGTTCCCCTGTAGTACAAGCCACATGTCCACCAAATTATTTTGGCCAGGTGCAGCTCTGTGCTCTGAGAGCCTGGAGGAAGTTTCCACCTGGGGGAGGTACAGTTTCTATTCAGGGCTTAAGGCAGAAAGCCACTGAGGACTTGCTATAGCTTACTGACAGAGTAAACAAGGTGGTAGAAGGGAAGGTGCCTCATAAAGGACCAAAGGCAGCCAACCATCCCTTTCCCTCCCACCCCTCTGACCTATTTAGAATTCATTTATTCCTCCCATACTGCCCCTTCCTACTCCAATATGAGTCAGCTCCTTATATCAGAGAAAACATTCATCATTTGTTTTGGGGGGATTGGTTAACTTCAATTAGCATTATCTTATCCAACACCATCCATTTATCTGAAAATGCCATGATTTTATTCTCTTTTATTGCTAAGTAATATTCCATTGTGTATATATGCCAATTTTTTATCCATTCATCCACAGAAGGGCATCTAGGTTGGCTCCACAGTTTAGCTATTGTGAATTGTGCTGCTATAAACATTGATGTGGATACAGACCAAGGAGAGGGATAGCTGGGTCAAATGGTGATTTCATTCCCAGATTTCCAAGGAACCTCCATACTGCTTTCCATATTGGCTGCTCCAATTTGCAGTCCCATCAGCAATGTATGAGTGTACATTTCCCCCCACATTCTCGCCAACACTTCTTGTTATTTGTCTTCATAATGGCTGCCATTCTGACTGGAGTGAGATAATATCTTAGTAGTTTTGATTTGCATTTTTCTAATTGCTGGAGATGATGAACATATTTTTTATATATTTGTTGATTGATTGTATATCATCTTCTGAGAAGTGTCTTTTCTAGTCCTTGGCCCATTTGTTGATTTTTTTGTGTGTGTGTGTGCTTGGCTTTTTGATTTTTTTATATACCCTAGAGATTAGTGCTCTATCTGATGTGTGAGAGGTAAAAATTTGCTCCCAAGATGTAGGCACTCTATTCACCTCACAGATATTTTTTCTTTTGCTGAGAAGAAACTTTTTAGTTTGAATCTATCCAATTAATGATTCTTGGTTTTAATTCTTGTCTTATAGGGGTCTTATTAAGGAAGTTGGGGCCTAATCCCACATGATGAACATTAGGGCCTACTTTTTCTTCTATTAGATGCAGAGTCTCTGGTTTAATTCCTAAATCCTTGATTCACTTTGAGTTGAATTTTGTGCATGGTGAGAGATAGGGGTTTAATTTCATTTTGTTGCATATGTGTTTCCAGTTTTACCAGCACCAAATGTTGAAGAGGCTATCTTTTTTCCAATACATGTTTTTGACACCTTTGTCTAATATAAGATAATTGTAATTTTGTGGGTTTGTCTCTGTGTTTTCTATTCTGTAGTAGAATTCAGTTTTGGTGCCAATACCATTCTACTTTGTTACTATTGCTCTGTAGCATAGTTTAAGGTCTGGTATAATGATGCCACTGGCTTCGCTCTTTCCGCTAAGAATTGCTTTAGCTATTCTGAGTCTCTTATTTCCAGATGAATTTCATGATGGCTTTTTCTATTTCTATGAGCAGTGCCCTTGGAATTTTGATTGGAATTGCATTAAATATGTATAGTATGGTGATTTTGATAATATTAATTCTGTGTATCCAAGAGCAAGGTAGATCTTTCCATCTTCTAAGGTCTTTTTTGATTTCTTTCTTTAGGGTTATGTGATTTTCATTGTAGAGATCTTTCACCTCTTTTATTAAATTGATTCCCAAGTATCTCATTTTTTGAGGTTATTATAAATGGGGTAGTTTTCCTCATTTTCTTCTCAGAGGATTTGTCACTGATATACAGAAATGCCTTTGATTTATGGGTGTTGATTTTATGTCCTGCTACTTTGCTGAATTCATTTACCAGTTCCAGAAGTTTTCTGTTGGAGCTTTTGGGTCTACTAGGTATAAAATCATATAATCAGCTAATAGTGATAATTTAAGTTCTTTTCCTATACCTATCCCTTTGATTTCTTTCATCTGTCTAATTGCTCTGGTCAGTGTTTCAAGAACTATGTTGTATAGAAGTGGTGAAAAAGGGCATCCCTGTCTTGTTCCAGTTTTTAGAGGGGATGCCTTTAATTTTTCTTCATTTAGAATGATGTTGGCCTGAGGCTTAGAATAGAAAGCCTTTATGATGTTTAGATATATTCCTGCTATTCCTAGTTTTTCTAGTATTTTGAACATAAATGGGTGCTGTATTTTATCAAATGCTTTTTCTGCATCTATTGAGATGATCATATAATTCTTATCTTTTAGTCTGTTGTTGTGATGAATTACATTTATTGATTTCCTTATGTTGAACCAACCTTGTTTTCTTGGGATGAATCCCACTTGATCATGGTGCACAAACTTTTTGATATGTTTATGTATTTGATTTGTCAGGATTTTATTGAGAATTTTTGCATCTATGTTCATTAGAAATATTGGTCTAAAATTTTCTCTCTTTGATGTGTCTTTGCCTGATTTGGGGATCAGAGTGATATTGGCCTCATGGAATGAGTTTGGAAGTGCTGCCTGTTTTTCTATTTCCTGAAATAAATTGTAGAGCTTTGGAGTTAGTTCTTATTTAAAGGTCTTATACAACTCGGCTGTGTATCCATCCAGTCCTGGGCTTTTCTTGGTTGGTAAGCTTCAGATGGCATGTTCTATTTTATCACTTGATATTGGTCTGTTTAAATTGAGTATATCTTCCTCATTCAATCTGGGTAAATCATATGACTTAAGAAATTTGTTGATGCCTTCAATATCTTCTATTTTATTGGAGTAGAAGATTTCAAAAATAATTTCTAATTATCCTCTATATTTCTGTAGTGTTTGCTATAATATTACCTTTTTCATCATACATGCTTTTAATTTGGATTCTCTCTCACTTCTCTTTATTAGCATAGCTAAGGGTCTGTCAATTTTATTTAATTTTTCAAAGAGCTAACTTTTTGTTTTGTCAATTTTTTCAATTGTTTCTTGTTTTTATTTTATTAATTTCAGCTTTAATTTTAATTATTTCTTGTCTTCTACTGTTTTTGCTGCTGATTTGTTTTTATTTTTGTAAGGCTTTCAGATGTAGTGTGAGGTTATTTATTTGTTGACTTTTTTCTCCTTTTAAGTAATGAACTCCATGCAATGAATTTTCCTCTTAGTACTGCTTTTATAGTGTTCCAGAGATTTTTATATGTTGTGTCTATGTTCTCATTTACTCTAAGAATTTTTTAATCTCCTCCTTGATGTCTTCTGTGATCCATGTTCATTCAGTAGCATATTGGTTAGTCTTCAGGTGATGGAGGAATTTTTATCTTTTATTTTGTTGTTGACTTCCAATTTCATTCCATTATTATCTGA